GGCGCAGATGGTGGCCAGTTTTGATGTGACGCATGGTGGTGTAATGCGGTATGGTATAAGTTGGTGGACAATTGGAGGCGAAGATAGTTTAACACTAAAAGTTACAATTGGTGGAGGTTTATGGTGACAACGACAACAATGTAAGATTGAGTGTTATAAGTGTAATAATATTTTTTTGCAAGTGAAGGTGGCGACGTGGTGGTATAATACCGAATGTTATAAGTTGTGGCAATGTCAACGATAAAACTAGGCGACATAATGTATGATGATGATGATGATCCCATATACCGATTGAGTTATTACTTCATTCTAGTCTGATCTAACTTTTATTTTTTCTATTTTTTTATTTTTGAAGGCATCTATCTTTTATTTCTTGATAGGTTTGTTCTTAACATTTTATAAATTAGCATCATCCTGTCTAAGATCTCACTTATTCAAATTTGTCATTTCACTCAAACAAAAGCTATTAAGATAATGCTAAAATTTAATATTGCATTTTGAGATGGAGAATAAAAATATAGCTAGCTACAAGTTGTCAAATCTTGATGATGAAGCCCCTATTTGGTTTTGCAAAAAAAAAAAAAAAAAGTTTTTTAGTAAATTGTGATAAAAGTTTATGAAATGATGATTGAAAAATTGATAAAATCGTGATCGTATGTAATCTGTAAATTTTGATAAAAATTTATTTATTATTTTTATTTTTTTTAAGACGAGTCAAGTTCATCCCATCATATGTATTCATTGAGTTTATGTAAATTCAAACTTTATCAAATAAGAAACGCGTTAAAAGTACATGCTTTTTATTTATTTATTTTGAGATGCTCTTAAATGATGTCAACTCCACTCGTAAATTTAGTCAATTACAAAATCATAAATTTTAAGTATTTACAAACAAAAATTCCCAATATGTTAGATGTAGAAATGATTTCGTATCACATACATTTCCTAATAGCTTAGAGCCCGTTTGGTACTGATTAAAATCCAATTAAAATTGAAAATATAGTCGTTATTGGGCCACATTCATCTAATAAAAGTCAACAATAACAGTTAATTTTTTCATTTTAATCCGACTTTAATCTATACCAAACGAGCTCTTAATCTTTTGGAATGAATATCGTATGCGAAAAATAGTTTCAAAGTCATGTTTGAAACTCTGTTATTCGTGGTGGAAAAAAGCTCGTGGTTAACTTTCAAGGCGGTTGGGTCCATATAAAGTAGTGGTCTTTGACGTAGTGAAAGAGCTGAGACCTGATTGTATTTTTCTGAATAAAAATAATATTTTTATTGTATGAAAGTAATGTTACACTGAAAAATTGACACACAAGTTTACACTTCACAATTTTTCTTCTAACATATAAAAAGAATGATTGTGCTATATGTACATAATTATTTATGGTGAGATATGATTGTATCGTAATTTTTTTAACTGAAAAAATAAATAAAAATTCGCACTTTCTTTTTGATACATCATCTTCGATGCACATGAAATCATTTATTCTATATACAAAATCTTCATTATTTTTAATTCAGTTCGATTATTATTTGAATTTGATCCTAATATATAAACAAAACCATCAACTGAATATTTTGAATTATCTAGTCTTTTTGTATATTGTCATATTAATAAAAAAGGTTTAAATGTTGACAATTGATGAGAAATTTTTGACCGAATTTTTGTCTCGAAAAATCAACAAATGGGTGATAAATCACACTATGAAAATCTTTTACCCCTTAAAAGTGGTCATTGGCATCATAATTCGACGTGAGATCTACATTAAGGCCCTGTTTTGAAGGGATTTAGATTTTTTTACAGTAAATCAATTCTCATGTTCAACCACACATT